AATAAAATAAAATACAGTGAATATTTTAAAACTCCCCAACAATCAAACAACCAACCAACTATAAGGTTTTCAGAAAAATGCCACAATGCAAATGTTTCACCCTCAAAATCCTAGGTATATCCATATTGAAGAGGTGTTAACAGCTATAGCACTGTAGATGATGCCTACCTGTGGCAATTCAGCCAGCTCGTTGTAGTCCTTTAACAGAATTAACATTGAGAAGGTTGAGGATTAGTCAAAACTGACTTTACATGGGAGGAAATTGTTGTTCTTGGAAAAATATATGTGGCCAAAACATTCATGTTGGAACATTTATGCCCACATCTTCACATGAGAAGCTGATCTTTCCTTTTGACTGGGTAGTATATATTTCATGTAGTCTTAGGAGATTTGAGTGGATTTCATAAAGAAGCCAAATAATCTCTGTAAATCAAAGTAAGTGCTATTCAGGAGGTTTGAGAACTTGCTGTTTTAATATTGTACCTTGACAACAAACCCATGTACTTCTCTCATCAATATGGTCTTCTAGAATGCAGTTCTGTGGATACAGTTTGCCAGTTTATGGCTATTCCTGGCAGTATTTTTGTTTTAGGAGTTTTTTTTAGCTGTCCTTCTCAAAATTGGATGTTAAAAAAATAAGTAGGGTTTTGTGACATAGATAACATCTATCTGATTTTTTCAGAATGCTTCTCAAAGAATCAGAATTAAGGTAGTAGTGTGCTTATCAAAAGGTCATGCTATTTGAGTCGGTGCAGATATCTGACATGATACAAAACAGAATGCCTTTTTGCTGGGAGATACTCTAAGACTCTGAACTGGTATACTGGCTGAAATGTAAGGATTTATCAAGATTAAGGGATTACTCCAAGATGGTACTTGGTCATAATCCTAAAGCACTGTGTATGGTTGCTTATGGTAGCTTTAGCTGCACAGTGCCTCAGCAAGTTCATTTCATAGAATCATAGAATGTTAAGAGATTGGAGTGGACCTTAAAGTTCATCTGGATCCAACCAGAACATGATGACTGGGACACCTCCCACTAGGCCAGGTTTCCCAAGGCCTTATCCAACCTCATTTTGAATGCTGCTAGGCCGGGACCTGTTCCAGTGTCTAACCACCATCACAGTAAAACATTTCTTGCTAATATCTAGCCTAAATTTCCCCTCTTTGAATTTGTACCCATTACTCCTTGTCCTGTCTCTATAGTTCCAGATGAAGGGTCCCTCCAGCTTCCCTGTAGCCCCCTTCAGATACTGGAATGTTGCATTTCTGTGACTACTGGCAGCTACTTTTGCTTGCTCTCTTGATACCTTTTTTTGTGTATCCAAACCCTGGAAAAATAGAAGACAAAGGAGCATCTTTGGACTTACTAATGAAGGCTGTTATGGTCATAATGAATTGGGATGGAAATAGTTGAATTTTCCATTTTCCGTGGAGAAAACTGGGAGATGTTTATCAAAGTGATGATTATTCAGCAAAACAAGAGTAGCAGAAATATCTGGGAGTGAGTGGAAAAGTGTGCATGGATTTCAGGTCTGTGCTACTACCCTCTCTTCCAAATTGTGCTGGAGCTTTTCCAAGACTATACTATATTTTGTATAATCTTTACCTGTTGTGGTTGTTTTGAATATGAACTTTAAATCAACTACTATTGTTGGTTAAGGCAGAATATAGATACTGGATTTTTTATTAATATTTAAATGAGATCAAGTATATACTAAGCTTGTTTAATTGAACATCAGAGGCACGCTATTGTTTATTAACCCATGTGTTACCTTGATGAATTGCAAAGACTACAACTGTGTTGTAAAGGTCTAGGTTTTCTTCTTTCGGCTATGCACTTATATTGTCTATGCAACAAAGCACAAACAAGAACTTCTTCATGTCTTAAAATACTGTTTGTCCAATGGTTTACATATTTCAGGTGGATCAGAAGTTCCTAATTCCTAATGATTACATTTTATCATTAAACATCTGGGCTTGTAGTTGTTTTCTTGAACACTCAAATTGTTCAAGTTTACTGTGATATTAAATAACTCAACATTTACAGGTATTTTTAAAAGGCACTTATATTCTTGCCAGCACCTTTGTGATGCTTCTACCCCTGAATTTTCAGTCATGTGTTAGGAGAGTTGATATATTTGCTCAGCTTTTGAAGACTACAGTTACAGCCCATTGAAACATAGATTACTTTGATCGGTTCTAATCTGGCAGCAAAAATGATGATGATCTAAAATCTCTTCAGAAGGTCATAGCAGAAAATGAAGCAGTTTGAGACATCCCATAATTCAAGAATTACAAATATCTGAAAGATATTTTTCTTTAGTAGACATTTAACATGATGCACATTGTAACATTCTTTGTACTAGAGCAAAGCGACCTTCATTGAAGGTCTCTTTGGTGGTGTGACTTCAAATAAGAAAATTCCCATTTTTAGCTCTCCTGTTGCTGGAGCTGGGTATCATTTGCTGATTCGAAAACAGGTTTATAAAGACACTGCTGAGATGCTTACCCACTTAACAGTCAGCTCTAAAGAAATTTAATGGAATAATGTAACTTAATATAATTCTGCAACACAATCAAATTGAATATCTGTGGGAATCTACTGTACACATAGTCAGCAAATAATGGAAGAGTGAATCTAGGGTAGGGTCTATATTAGATTCTTGTCTAATCATGTGCACAGAAATGCAAAGTATCTTAGAACTGTGTGTGTAACCATATCTGTAATAACCTTTCACTTGATCTGACAATGGCATCACATCTTTTTTAACTTTATGTGCCAATTTGATCAACACCATCTTGACCAGAACAGTAAGCTCCTCAACACAATGATTCTGTGACCTAAATTAAGAGAATATTTATTGTAACCATCTCCATACAAAACAAAGTAAATGTAGCAAAACAGAGTAGAAATGCGGTTTGTTGTTTTAATGAACATGTCACGCCAACCTGGAAATTAACTTTTGAAAAGGGCATGGGAAGGTGATTTATTGTCATGAACTAGTAAACATTTAATAAGAAAACATCTTTATTTGTGAGCTAAGTATATAACAAAATAATCTATGTGCTCTGTAAACTATACAGAAAAAGAAAGAGAAAATATTTGCAAAATGAACTGAGAAAGTTTGTGTGTCAGGAAATTCAGCAGTTGCCATATTCCTGTACTTAATCTTCCAGTATTCAGCATCTGCACTGTACATGTACGCTTAGTAATTCAGCTTAATTAATGTGCAGGGAAGGATACGATGCATTAGATCATTAACTAAAATTAAGTATGTCAGGGACTTGCCCCAAACCAACTTGTATTTTTGCTGCTGTCAGCATAGAATCATTTTTGTAGATAGGTTATGTAGAACACTTGTCAGAAATTCTCCAAAACCCTAGTATAGAATGGTAGAATAGGGGGCAATATAAAACAAAATTGGTGGTTCATATCAGTAGAAAGTAGCCTTGCCATGTTGTCTGCCTCTGGCTGTGGAGGTATGATGTTAGAATCTTCTCTAGTGACTCTTTTTGAAAACAACTGTAGCACAATGTATGATGGAGACCAGGTTACTGGAGTTTCCATTCTGCTGGTGTAGTTACTTCGGGAAGAATGGCTAGGAAGAGAAAGAGGAAGGAGAATGTGTTTATATAGCTGCAATCTAACACTACTATTTTTAACCTGAAAAGAAACTTTTATTTGAATCAAATCTAATTAAGATTAAGAAATACTAATTTAGTGCTTTAAAAAATAAACACAAACAATCATTTCCCCCTATTTTATTTTAATAAATCATACTACTTTTACAAGGAGTACACAGCAGAGCTCTTAGCTCTGTTTATGTGGTCTTCTAGGACCTTGATTTTGGCCTCCTGGGATTTTATTTTGCTAACTACAATTTTACATTGTGAACTTCCCATATAACATATGCATGTATTACATTTTCTGAATTTAATGCCTGACTGGAAGCTGTTACTACTTTTTGCCTCTAAAATTGACTGTGGATTGCAGCATGGGCACTGTTGCTGGTATAGATAGAAAGTTGGTTTACCTACACTTACCTTTGCTACATGGGGACAATTCAAAAAGGGTAACAGGTATTAATTTCTTCATGTGTCTGATTAAATTGTATGTAAGCTCCTGCTCTTTTCAGAATTAAATACACTTTAATTTAGTCTAGTTTAATTATTTGAGTAAAGTAAATTAAACCAAAACAGCTTAATTCAGGATGGGTGTTTATAGGTAGCTTCAAATTACTCAGTTAAATTTAAAGTCAGGCATTCATTTAATCTGATGAACTTTTCTGATTGTCCCTATGTAGCAAACTGCCTATAAGGACAACTTTTTTTTGGGTAAATGTCTGCCTTAATGCATGCTTTTTTGTAGTCTCATCCTGTTCTGCTTCCAGTTGTATCCTTCCTTCAGTAGTTTTATTGTTGTGTTACCTTTTATTTACAACATTAAATATGACCCCCTCATGATCATTCTTGTGAAATTTATTATTGGAAACCCATAAATGAATGGGCAGGATGCACAGGGTGGTGCTATTTTTTCTTTCTATTCTAAACCAGAGAATCTCCCTAGTAGATTCATTGCAACAACATTTTATTTCTTTAACTTCAAAGGGATTCTCCAGCTCATGGTTGTGTTGTCTTGAAGAACTGGGATTAAAATAAGAGTCTACTTCTGTTTTTTGAGGCTTTTTGACAAGATCTCCTTTAACCCTTTAACTATATTATGACAAGGAATTAGTTCTGTAAAACTGGTAGTTATTACATACTGAATTTTATTACAAAGACAGACAAACAGGAAAAGTATATATGCAATTATTATAAGTATTTCAATTGATTTGCTGACATTCACAACTCCGAATAAAAATGATGCTGAGATTTGGTTCTGCTTGTGTTCAGGGATAATTGTGCATTTAGCAAAGATTTTCTAAATGCTTCCACAGATCTTGTTGGGTCAGAAGTATAACCCTTGTTCTCTTTTCGTTTGGTTTTCTTTTTGGTAGGATGATGAAGTGGTTCTGCAGTGCACGGCAACTGTTCAAAAGGAGCAACAGAAACTGTGTCTTGCTGCAGAAGGATTTGGCAACAGGCTTTGCTTTTTGGAATCCACATCAAATTCTAAGGTACAGCTGAGTGTTTTAATTGTCATACATGAAGCAAGGATAGTTATAACTTTGCAAGGAGAACGGACAAATAAAATTTACCAGTCATATAAGGTATATTTAATCCCCTTTCAAAGTTTAAGTGTTCCTTTGTCATGGCCCTTTGACTAGACTCTGATGCTGTGCTTTTTGTTTTGGGTTCACTTTAAAACTAGTTAGCTGCTGAAGTCCATCTCAGTAATACTCATTATTTTGCTTTTCCAAACTCAGTTATAGTGAGCCATAGAGCAATTTTTGTGTACTGCACTTCAAAGGTGAGTTTGACTGCTCTGATTTTAATTCCACAGGAAAGAGAGCAATCATTCTGTTTGTGGTAAGTTTTTATTCTGGGGCATTTACATGGAGAGATTGTTACTTTAAGACCTAATTCCCTAACAGAGTGCAATTTCAAAATTATCTTGTCTGAATAGTTTTTTATCTAAGCCTCCTCTAACTCTGCAATGTATGCAGTAGATAGTTTGAAAAAACAACTTTGCTATTTATTGCAAAGAAGGGTTTTTGTTTCACAATCACATATGCTCAAATGTTTTGAAGACACAAATAGGCCTTCTGAGGGCAGAACTGGTTTTATGACCAAAGTAATGGACATTTTATTCATAGAAAGGGAGGAATGTTACTTAATGTATTTATTTTTTCTTCAGTTAAAATATAAATATTTGATGAGAAAGTATAATAAGGGTAAAGCATCTGGAAAGACATCTAGAAAGATTTAGAACAAAAAATGATGATTTTTATCTAGCCAGCTTCCATAACATCACTTTGATTCTCTCTGATTCTTCACAGAGTAATGCTTCATTTTCTGTCTCATCGTTTTGAATACATTATTCATAATAATAAATTTTTCACTAGGATATTAATGATTCATTATAATAGCAGTGATCTTGATGAATTAATTCTTGCCACTCTGTTTTAAGTGAATCTTTTTAACAATAAAAATGTACCAGGATAGAAGTGGTTGTAGTGCTCATTGCCTGTGAGGCCAGAAAAATCTATTTAATGAAATTATTATCATTCAGTAAGTTTGAATATTAAATCTGCAGTCTCTCTCTCACTGTATCAAACTTCTGAACATTCTTGTCTTTAAGGGATACAGTGTAGATTTCATATCAGTTATCTATGCTTTTTTTTGTTGATACTGCTTTTTCTCCTTGCTTTGTTAAGCAATCTGTATTCTGCTCATTTTTCATGGGCTTGGGGGGGGAAAAGCAAACAAAAGAAAACCCATGCAGCTCTTCTGTGTTTCAGTTATTAAGGGCTGACAGTTTATAGGATGAGCTCATTTGAAGTCATTTGTAGATATAAGTACTGAGGGAGTAATAAAATTACCAAATCCTTAAAGCAAAGCGGACTATAAATAAAAATGTTTTTCATCCTAATGTCTGTGTTCATAGAATGTTACTATTGCATTATATAAGGAAGAACATAGGACATATTCAGAGAGGCACATGATAATTTGAAAAAGGTTCCAACAGAGTTCTTGAGCCAGTTAAAAAATTTCCATGCATGTCTTGAAGACTAGTTTGCAATTTTAATGAGATTTTGATGCACTGTAATGGAAACAGTAGTGTGGCATCTGAATTCCATCCAGATACCAAGAATGAAATGTAAAACCAAGCACCAGTAATAGGCCAAACTCAAGCAATAGACTTCAGCTATCGTCCTGGACTTGCATTCTTGAGAACGCTTGTTACTATCCCCTGCTTGTCCCCAATATCTTTCAAGATGTGGGTCTTCATGATTTAGCTGATGTTGTATTATCACAAGTTCTTTGCATGCACTTTCCTGCCCTAGGATAACTAAATAATTCACACTACTAAAATAATGGTCAAATTGAAGATACATGTTGATAGAATAATTTGGCAACTGCTGACTATTTATACTTATCCCATTACAGCAATAACAGTGGAAGGCCCATAATGAAAATTGCTTAATGAATTTTATTTTCTTCTGTTCAAATTTACCATACAGGTGTTTCTTTGGAGGGTCATAGAGATTTCCTCAGAGTCAGAGGAAAACTTTTCAAAACATCATACTAATGAAAGATAAATAAATTGGCAAACACTTTAATAAGCATTATCATTGCACAGGTTCACATTTAAAAGCTGTTTCCAAATTCCATTTTCTTCACTTCTTTTGACTTGCTTGTCAAACCACTTTACTGAGCAAAAGTATCATCTTTATTTCTTTATTTTTCTTTACTCTGCAAATGGATTTTTCTTCTGTATATATTGTAAGGTGTTTGAATTTTAAATAAGGAATTAAATAGCATTTGGAGGTACATGGCAACTTGGTTTTAGGCTTGAAGTTCATTTCTTTGTAGCAAATACAGAGACATCTTTTGCTACTGAATTTGATATTGTGCTCTTTCTGAGGAAAACATTATCACAAGGTAGCATTTTAATGGAATCAAATTTCAAAGTATATCAAAGTTATAACTCTTGAGTTTTTGAATGTTTTTATGCATTGGTTTGGTCATTCTTACAGGAAAGGAGTTGAGTTGAGAGTTGGGGTTGTTCAGCCTGGAGAAGAGAAGGCTCCAGGCAGACCTTAAAGCAGCCTTCCTGTACTTAATGAGGACCTTCAGAAAAGCCAGAGAAAGACTCTTTTTATCAGAGGCTGTACTGATAGGATGAGGGGTAGTGGCTTTAAACTGAAGGAGGGTAGATTTACATTAGCTATTAGGAAGAAAGCCTTTACTCTAAGAGTAGCGAGATGTCCCGTTCCTGGAAGTGTTTGAGGCCAGTTTGGGTGGGGCTTTGAGCAAACTTGTCTAGTGGAAGGTGAGGGTTGGAACCCAACCATGGCAGGGGCATTGAAACTAGATGATCTTCAAGGTCCCTTGCAACCCAAATCTTTCTATGAGTCTATATAGTCTAGCAAGTGCTGAGTAAAGGGAAAAACCAATAACTCCCTGCTACACCAGTTATGGCACAGCATTGGAGGCTGTCACCCGTCTTTGCTGCCAGGGTGCATTGTGGAGTCATGCTCACCTTCCTGCCCTCAGGCCCTTTGCTGCAAAGCTGACTCCCAGGCTGGGTCAGAGAGTACGGGGTCTTTGTATAGCAAATGTATTCCTGATTTGAAATTATTTACCTGAGCCAGTGGATTGGATTGCAGTTGTGAAGGACACACAGATTCTCTATGAGTGATAGCAATAGTCATGTGTCTTTGGTGTTCTCTAGTTTTGGCTGATAATGAGACAAAAGCTATTTTGCCCTTTGCTATCTTTATTTTAACTTGATGTTGTGGTTTAACCCCATCTATCAACCAAACCCCATGCAGCCACTTGCTCACTCTCTCTGTGTTGGGATGATGAAGAGAATCAGAAGAGTAAAAATGAGAAAAATCATGGGTTAAGATAAAGACAGTTTAATAGGTAAAGCAAAAGCCACGTGTGTAGGCAAACTAAAACAGTGAGTTCATTCCCCTCTTCCCATGAGCAAATGTTCAGCCATCCCCAAGAAAACAAGGCTGCTTCATGTGTCATGGTGATTTGTGAAGACAAACACTGTCACTCTGAACGCCCCCAATTCCTTCTTCGTTTTTCCTGTTTTATACACTGAGCATGTCATCATGTGGTATGAAATATCCCCTGGATCAGTTGGGATTAGCTGTCCTTGCTGTTTCCCCTTACAACTCCTTGTGCACCCCCAGCCTACTCTCTGGTGAAATGGGTTGAGGAACAACAAAGGTCTTGACTTAGTCCAAGGCTGCAAATTGCTCAAATCGGTCCCATGTCTCGAAGAGCAAAATAATAAATAAAAAATATGTCAGGTCTTTACACATAAAATTATGTGTAATTTTATTAATAGAAGGCAGTTCTGGGTATAAAACAATTAAGCTTGACAAGATAAATGCATGACTACCTCATCTATAGAGGTGTAGTAGCTTAAGTGAAAAATAATTATATTTCAATCTCTACCAATTTCAAAGCAAATCTATATCAAAGTAGATCTCGTTCTCATGTTTAAAATGTATAAGGATATCAGATATATAAACCACCAAAATTTTTTAACATTGAAAAAGTGGCAACAGGAGGAATAACAAAACCCAAGGAAAACATGCTGAAGACAAAATTTAAAATACTTACTTTTCTTATCTCGTGCAATTACTTCTTCAGCAGGTTTTGTCAAATCTATAGCATAAATTTTAATTTCTTAAGTAAGAAGAAGAAGAAGATAAGGGATGGCTGTTGGAAAAAAAACCACAACAAAACACCTCATTGTTGTTGTTTAACCCCACCAGCAACCAAGCCCCATGCAGCCACTTACTCATTCCAACACCAGTAGGACTGGGGAGAGAAACAAGGATAAAAGCTAGGAAACTCTTGGGTTGAAATAAAGACAGTTTAACAGGGAAAGCAAAAGCCATGCACACAAGCAAAGCAAAACAAGGAATTAATTCACTGCTTCCCACGGGCAGGCAGGTGTTCAGCCATCCTCAGGAAAGCAGGGCCCCATCACACATAACACTTACTTGGGAAGACAAATGCCATCACTCCAAATGTTCCTCCTCTTCCTCCTTCTTCCTCCCACTTTATATACTCAGCATGATGTCATATGGGATATCCCCTTAGCCAGTCTGGGCCACCTGTCCTGGCTGTGTCTCCTCTCATGCACCCCCAGCTTCCTTGCCAGCATGGCAGTGTGAAATACAGAAAAGCCCTAACCGGGACACTTGTAAACTTCCTTTTTACAATTGCCTGTAGGTAATTTTGTGTCATCACCGTTTCCTGTACTTTTAAATCTAATCCTTGTGTGGAAGACCATCTCTTCTGTTAAAAAAAAGTATTATTAGTTAGCTTATCTCAGTGACTAGTGAGATCTATTTCTGTACATTTGAATATTAAAATTGTTGCTTTTTATATATAAAGAGATTGTTAGTATGAGGAAGTTCATCCATTAAAAAAATACATTGTCTGCTACTGAAGTAATTTTTCGTTAGACCTAAATAATGCATGG